TCTGTGTCAGAGCAAGCAAGTTTAACAATTACCCAGTTCACACAGAAGACCTTCTCAATTTTTGATCTGCATAAGGTCAGTCTTGATGTTAGCAGAATACTGATGGAAAAAATGCATAAAGGAGTCAGCCAGGAGAAACACACCAGCTGAGAGAGCCTCTTCTTAGTCATGAAAGAGTGGTAGTGCAGAGGGCGACATATAGCCAGATACCTGTCAAAGGCCATGACAGCTAAAATGGACAAATCACAGCAAGCAAATGAGTACATGATAAAAGCTTGTAAAAGGCATCCTTCATAGGAGATTTCTTGAGAAGACGACAGCAGATCTAACAGGAATTTTGGGTAGAAACCTGTGGTCCCATAAATTGCATTAATGCAAAAACTGCTCAGTAAAATGTACATAGGTTCATGGAGGTTTTCATCCAAGACAATGAGCACAATCAGAGACACATTGATTAATATGATCATACAGTAATACATTAATGTGAGTGAGAAGATGGTAAGTCTGATATTCATTGTCTCATTAAATCCAGAGAGAGTGAACATTCTCACAACAGAAACATTATCCATAATCAGAGAGCAATACTCACAATTTCAAATGTTCAGATTATACCTGACGAGTGTTAAAAAAATGCAAAGTGAGCAGCTACACTGTGCTGTGTATTCTCACTCCGCTCTCATTCAGCACCATCTATTAATAAACGCTTTGATGATGACAGCACAACAGCTGGGAATTCAAACTCATATTGCCGGTCCTCTAATAACTCGTTTCCGTACGTATAAAAAAAATTGCATTCAGTTTCAGTAATTGAGTATTTTTGATTGTCTAAGGAGCTTGGAAAGAAAAGCTTCTGGACTTCTTTAAGTTGCTTGAAGACGTTGCACCTCTCATCCGAGAGCTTCTTCAGGTCTAGCCTAGAACTGAAGAACCTTCACAGATGAGTGTTTTTAATATTAGAAAACTTTAAGAATTTGTGAATTGTTAACTTGTTAAGTAATATTTTTTCTAACTATGAATTATGTAAAAATTGCTGTAAAAATTAGATTATGTTAACTCTAGATGTCTGGCCTGTAGTGTTTTATAAATGTGATTTTTGCAGTGTACAGTGGTTAAGGTGTTCTGGTCCTGGGTTCAGTGTATAGAATTTTGTTCTGTTATTATTAAATATTCTTTGTTTAATGCCTAGTTTGTTTGTTTACATTTTCATCTTGTATTTTTTCTTGTATTAGTACTTTAAGTATTGAGTTAATTGTTCCAGTTACTATTTAGATCAGTTTATTATTTATAGTTTATACTTTTACTTTGTGTTTCTCAGTTTAGTTATTATTGCTAACTTCCTATTTTACTTAGGTCCTGTCTTGTGTTTTGTGCTACTTTCCCTCCTATGATGTGGTGATTATCCGCACCTGCAACTTATTTTGCACTTCCACTACACATAACATCTGGACTAATGGCGAAACAACTGGTTGCTCAGTGTTTCAACATCTGGAAGAAAAAACTGCTATCACAACTAAAGATCGACAAGGTACAACACGAATGCTACACCAGGGGGGAACAAGGTCGTCAGGTCAGGGGGGTGATATCATCTCGACCCTCCGAGATTGGGTATCAAGTGCCAAGGCCAACTGATGTGTGTGAGGTGTTTATTGTAAGAACACCTGACTTGACAGATATGATCATTGCTAAGCTGGAAACCTGGACCCTCTATGGCTGATTACAAAGCCCATATGAAGAACCATCTGAAGGTTATGGAAAATCCCTACTGTGACTATCATCGAAACCAACCAGCTGATCTACACTATGGCAGCAGTGATCAGTGAGGTGCTTGGCTACAAGATGAACAGCTACAAGGAGCAGTACCCTCCTTGTAGAAGGAGACTAGAAGCCAAGACAAGATGGAGGGAAGTGAGCCAAACATCGGAGCTGCAAATAGGTGTGACGAAGAAATAAAATCATACTTGAGGCCTTGGAAATAGGGATGGGTATTAGGTTTTATCCGAAACCAGTGCCAAACCGGTACTTTTGAAATGGTGCCGGTGCTTAAACGGTGCTCGAACCAGTGCTTAAAGAATGGAAAACACAAACTTTGTCCAAAAACCTCTCATGTTTAGCTGTTTTTTGTAAAAAGATAACAATGTTAGCCCTTTCTGCAGCTATAGGGCATATATGGTATCGTTCTTGGCTGGAGGCAGTGCTTAAACAATGGAATAAACACAAACTTTGTCCAAAAACCTCTCATGTTGTTGTTGCTGTTTCCCACTTTTTCTTTGGTCATTTTAGCCTTTTTGGCCAGGGTGAAGGGAGTACCTGCCATCAAACAAGAAGACAGCCGCATGTAACTACGACAGTGTTTGCTAGTTCACCTTACATGCATTGATTTAATAACGTGGTTAGCCTACACAACGTAAATTAAACACGAACTACATTAAGCTACTGACCCAGAGGAGAACGGCTGCTGCTGCCATCATCATCCGTCATCATTTCTGCTACACCGGCAGGGCTAGGGGCCAGGACTCTCCTCCGCGGGTTCTTGGGGGATGTTGCTAACCCCGGGTCCGAGGCACCATACCCGCAGTAGATGTGCTCAGTGTGAGGTCTCGCAGCAAGCTATCAAATACGGTTCATTTCTCAGCTTTTAACAAAACACTATAAGTCGCCAGGTTCGTCGTCAGATTCAAGGAGTTACCTCCTTTGCACAGTATCACCTTAAAGTACTTGTTGCAGGCTGCTGAGTTTGCATATTTTGCTGTGAAGTACAGCCAGACTTTTGACTGCTTCGCCTTGGGCATTTTTAATCTGTAGCTCTGCTCTAAAAGAATGTACGTACCTGGGCCCGCCTACTATCCTTGGAAAGGTAAAATGATTGGCTAGAATCTGAAGTGTATGACATCTCAGGAAAAAAAAAAGCACTGAAATAAAGCACCGAAATGTGTTCTACTTTTCGGTCTGGTTACTACCGTTTATGTCACAACCTGTGCCATCATGGCACTGGATACCAGTACCCATTCCTACTTGGTAACTGCCAAGCAAAGACTCACAACCTTGGCTTGCCGTTTGAAGAGGTATACTAGAGAGATCGGAGTGAAGACCACACCAGCTTCCCTGAACAGGCTCCAGTAACCATTACAGTGGCAGATATCCAAGGCATAGTCTCAAGAATAAAGAGCTGGAAAGTAACAAGTCCCTGGGAGGCAGCAAACACCAAATATCTGCAGAAAGTAAGGCAAGTCCTGAGGAGACAGCTGAATGGGAAGAATGCAAGATTTAGGCAATCAACATCTCATCAAATACCCTGTTGGGATAATCAGTGAGACAAAGGAGGAGAAAGAAGCCACGGACCCCAAAACATCGAAGCTCCTAACAAGGCATGAATGGTTTCACCACAAGTCCACCCCAACCCTGAGACTAAACTAAGTGAAAGGAATTAGAGAATTACAGGACCACTATCCAGGATGAAACAACAAAGATCCAGGAGTACATCAGGAAAATGATCACGACCTATAGAGTGCTTAGTGAATACTTCAGGCAGCAGAAACCCGAGATAAAAGAAGAGGAATCATCATGGAAGCAAAGGTCCCTGAATGGTATGTACCACTGGAAGATAGAAGAGGTGACTGGTATCAAGAAATCCTATAAAGCGAGACTGAAAGACAGCACAAAGGTACTAATCATAGCAGCACAGGAACAAGCCCTAGGTACAAGATCCATAGAGGCTGAGGCTACCACACCAGCAAATACCCTAAGACCAGGTTGTACACTCTTGGCTTCCTTCTCCCCTCAGGCCATTTAGTGCTCAATACTAGACTAAATACTAGTTCAGCAATACTAGTTAGCAGAGGTTAGCAGATACTGTTGCTCAGGCGCTCTCGGGCTCTGTTGTTAAACTGGATTGTTTATCAATTGGAAGATCGATGGATTGTTCCCTGATTCCCCCAGATTCCTCCCGAGTTGCCCCCAATGGATCCATCAGAGTGTGTAATATCCATCCATCCATTCGCTTCCGCTTATCCTTTTCAGGGTCGTGGGGGGCGCTGGAGCCTATCCCAGGTGTCATAGGGCGAGAGGCAGGGTACACCCTGGACAGGTCGCCAGTCTGTCACAGGGCCAACACACAGGGACAGACAACCATTCACACTCACATTCATTCGCACATTCACACCTAGTGGCAATTTGGATTTTCCAATTAACCTATCCCCACAAGTTGCATGTCTTTGGACGGTGGGAGGAAGCCAGAGTACCCGGAGGAAACCCACGCAAACACGGGGAGAACATGCAAACTCCACACAGAAATGGTGGAATTGAACTCAGGACCTTCTTGCTGTGCGGCAACAGTGCTAACCACCGTGCCACCGTGCTGCCCTAGTGTGTAATATTAATATTTTTTTATTTTTTTTATTTTTTTATTATGTTGCTCTTTGTTGTTTGCTTTCTCTTCTGTTTTTTTTTTTTTTCTCCATACAGGTGACCCAGACTGGTACTTTTAAATGGACTGGTACTTACATAGTGGCTTTCTACTCAATTTGAGCACTCAAAACACTTTGTACTCATCTCATTCACTCAGTCATACACACAGAGTGTTTTTACCTTTTTTTTTTTTTTTAGTGTGTAATATTAAAAAGGTAAAAACACAAGTACCAGTCCGGCATTTTTGTTAGTGGGTCTGAGGCGAGGCCCACTAACAAAATTGTGAAGAATGCTGATAGAATAAAATAGAATAGAATAGAATAATAATTTATTGTGAGTCTCATCCAGGACATCAATGAATAAGTGAGCAGGTGAACCAACTGCAGAACTGTAATAACACCTTAACACTAAATACTGAATAAAAAAGGAGATCAGCATGAGCCAGCACAGTCACATATCACTTCTTTTCAACAACACCACAGTGAAGATGGCCAGCAGCACGAAACTCCTGGGCGTACAGATAGACCTGTCCTGTTCACTGCACAGTGGAGCTCTTGTAAGAGAGCCTTTTTCCCCAATTAAGAAAAGGTCACCTTCCCTTTCCCATCTCTACTACTCTCTTTGCATCTCTGATTGGTCAAGAGCCTGCTTTGCTTTAGACTGGCAATCCCTGAATATAGTGGTGGGGACAGCAGAGAATACTTATGGGACTCCACTTCCCCACATCTGGGATGATGCCTGACCAAAGCAAACAAACACATACGTGACCTCTCCCACCCCTACCACACACTGTTCTGCCTGCTGGATTCATGTTTAACTTTTGGACCTTCAGGCCATACTCAGTGCAGATGTTCCTGTATACTATACTGGCTACTTGGTTATAGGATTTCGTGCTATACGTCTATATCCTTCTGCAACAGCACCCTATCTGAAAAAAGGGAGGCAGCTTTTAAAGCAGCAGCCACCCACTGTGTGGATTCCAAATTCATAGAAAATATTGTTCTATCTTTGGTTCTATTATCTATATCTATTTTGTGAACTGTTATATATAGATGTCAGGTATTCTATATTTATCTAAACTAGCTTTTTAATATCAGTGTGAGCAAGGTTACAGAAGTACATAAAAAGCTCACAGCATACAGCAGTCATTCATACAAGTTGCCTT